GAAATGAGGCCAGCGCTGCAGCGGGAGCACGATTCGGAACGAGCGGAAGCACGGAAATGAGGCCAGCGCTGCAGCGGGAGCACGATTCGGAACGAGCGGGGCCCGAAAATGAGGCCGACGCCTCAGCGAGAGCAGCATTTTGAAAAACAGATGCAGGCGAAAACCCAACTCCGGGGAAACTTGTGTGTGAAAAACAGTGCGCGGGGGGGGGGTCGAGCATTTTCAAACCGTCATCAGGGGAAGAGGGAGAGTAGTATTCATATGGAGTAATTGTGGAGGGAGGAGGGAGAGGGAGGCGGGGGGGAGGGAGGAGGGAGGAGGGAAGAGGGAAGAGGGAGGAGGGAGGGAGGGAGGCGGGAGGAGGGAGGAGGGGGGAGGGAGGAGGGGGGGGGGAGGGAGGGAGGAGGGGAGGAGGAGGGAGGAGGGAGGGCGTCGAGGGACGAGGTGAGCTAGGGACGAGGGAGGAGGGAGGAGGGAGGAGTGAGGGATGGTGTAGGGAGGGGGGGAAGGGAGGCGGGAGGAGGGAGGGAGAGAGGGAGAGAGGGAGGGAGGGAGGGAAGGAGGGAGAGGAGGAGGAGGAGGAGGAAGAGGAAGAGGAGGGAGGAGGCAGGAGGGAGGAGGATTGAAAAGGACCGCCGAGGAGGGGACCGACCACGGCGCTCCCCCCTCCGAGGCTCTCGAACGGGCGCACGCGGAGCCAGGCGGTGGCAGCGCGGGTCTTCCTGGCGCGCAGGCGGGGCGTCTGTCAAGGGGGTCCATGTCCTTCTGCTTCTGATCCTGCCCCACCTCCTCCTCCTCCTCCGCCTCCTCCTGTTCCCTCCTCTCTCCTCCCTCCTCCTCCTCCTCCTTCTCCTCCTCCCCGTCATCCTACTCCTCCTCGTCCTCCTCGTCCTCCTCCTTCTCCTCCTCCTCCTCCATTATTTTTCCTTTACGTTATTTCTCCCTCTCGCACCCCAAGGCAAGTTTTTGGGCGGACCGGGCGTTTCGCTTGAGCTTTCCTTGTAACTTACGACCTTGTAAACATCAGCAACGGCTCCACAGATAAAGGGCGGGTCGTTTTCAACATGTGGTTCTCGCTTTAGCGCTGCGCATATTCATTACAAAAAACAGTGCAAGAGTTTCGCGGGTTGAGGGCGACCCGTTTTCGCAATGTGCGTTTCGCCTTCGCGCCGCGCACACTTGCTTTAAACATTTGCAAGGGTTTCACGGATTAAGGGCGACCCGCTTTCAAGCTGTGATTCTCGCCCTAGCGCCGCGCACATTCGTTTAGAAAGGGGCGAGAGCTTCGTGGGTTGATGGCGGCCCGTTTTTTAATGCGGTTCTCGCCTGCGTGCCGCACACATTTTTGTACAGTCGGAAGAGCTTCACGGATTGAGGGCGGTTCTTCCAACATGTGGTTCTCGCTTGAGCGCCGCGTACATGCGTTGTTTTCAATATGCGAGAGTTGCACGAATTCCCATGACCAACGTACCAGGAATTGCACGTGGGAAGGATTTAAGAGCATGAGGCCGCAACAGTTACGTTGATTCGCCGCATTGAAGTCCCAAGAATGGCGTTCTGGCACGATTCTGGGTCGTCAAGACGCAACAATCAGGTTGATCCGTGGCACTGTAATCCTAGAAACGCTGTTTTGGCATGCTTCAGGGTCTTCAGAAGGTTGTCTTCCAACGCGGCAGTTAGTTCCATCTGTGGAAATGAACCGTTGTATGGGGCCTATGAAGAGGGAGTTTGTAGGGCGAGATTATTCCAACACCGTTGATGATTTTTGGGTTTACCTTAGTCCTCCTCCTCATTCTCCTCCTCCTCCTCCTACCCGTGGGGAATGGCGGGCCATATTTTCTCACCGGTGGCGCGGCTCCGTGATCTCGGATTCGCTTTTCATCACTCGGAACCTCCTCGTTCTTCTCGTCTTTCTGCTCATCCTCCTCCCTTATCCTCAATCAAATTCTCGTATAAGTAACCCCTGCCCGTCGCGCCCCAAAACGTGAATAGGGTGGGCCGGGTGCTTCACCCGATCATTTCTCACCAGCTATGGTCTCGAAGATTGGCCCTAGCAAGTGGTTCAAGGATAGTGGGTGGAAGTTTTTTCATGCGCCTCTCGCTTCAGCGCCGCGCACCTTTGTCTTAACAGTTCCAGCAGTTATGAGGATGAGGTCGGGTGATTTTCAACATGTGGTCCTCGCTCCAGCGCCGCGCGCATTCGCATTACAAGTCAGCAGAGATTCAATGAATCGCAGGGTTGAAGTCCCAGGAATGACGCGATTTAGGATTGTCACGACGCAACAGTCACATTGCTTCGAAGCGCTGGCGTCCCAGCAGTGGTGTTCTGGCGCGTTTGAGGATTGTTGAACGCAATCGTCGCGTTGATTTGCGGCGTTGGAATCCCCGGTTCCCCCTCGACGTTCGGGAAATGCGCATCACTTTGGCACTCACCCTTGCATGATACTCTCATGGTAGTATATGTGTTTCTCTGGGAAGGGATCGGCGTGCCTCAAGGGGTGGGACTCCTCCTCCTCCTCCTCCTCCTCCTCCTCCTCCTGAGGCGGCGAGGCGCTGACGGCATCCTAGTCTCGGTGGGCGTTGCCATTTTCTTCAGCTCGTCCCTCCTCTTCGTCCTCTTCCTCCACAGTTAAGTGCGTTCCTCCTCCTCCTCCTCCTTTTCCTCTTCCTCCTTCTCCTCCTCCTCCTTTTCCCCCGCTTCCTCCTCAGTCGCCTCCTCGTCATCTCCCTCCTCCTCCCTCCTCCGTCCAGAGAGGGTCCGCCTGCTACGTGGTGTTTGAATGGGACCAGCCACCGTCCGAGCTTTCTGCACCACCCACCGTCAGAGCTGTTTGGCTAAAGGGACGCAGTGGCCAAGGGGAAGAAGACCCAACAGCAGCAGACGCCTGCTGCAGACCCGTCATCTTCGGCCCCGTGGACCAAATGCCACAATTGTGGCAAGTGTGAAAGGGAAGGTCGATTGAGCAGCAGGCGCTACACGTGCCAGTGCGGCGCCAAAACCGCCTTGTTCGAGCCCAAAATTGCGAACGCGCCGCCTGGGAACGCGGACAGGTTACGAGGTGCTGTGGCATGGCCGACCAACGCTTTCACGACGTTGGAGGCCGCGTTCGCCATCGTGAAGGACCCCTCGGTTGAGCTGTTCCTCGAGCAGGTCGCCAAGGCCTGCGCGGGCGCTGCCCGCCCCGCCGAGGTGCCGCCGAGGAGGCGGTGCGCCGAACTGTGGGGGCCTGCCGTGACGTTGCGACGGATCACGAACAAGCGACGGCGCAGGTGCAGAGGTGCATCGCCAACCTCGAGCGTTCTCTCGAGCACGAGGAGGAGACGGCGCGTGCCCTGCCGGTGGCGGAGCTCAGAAGGCGTAGCGCTGCGGCAGCGTTGGCCAAGGAGGCGCGCCTGACGCCGCTGCCAGCTACCGCTGGAGCTCTGGGCCAACCCGAAGCGCCGCTCATCGACTTTTCCCGGGGCACCAGGTTATTCGACCACGTCGGCGAGCCGGACTGCTAAGAGGAGGATATGGCAGATTTGAAGAGGCTCGAGCAGGAGCTTCGGTCTGCCAGGGATAGGGCGCAGTCCAAGGCTGAGCAGGTCATTGCGCGGCGCACGCAGACACTGGTGGAGGCGGGAGGCGCGGAAGACGGTGGCGGAACGCTTTAAAAAGAAAGGGCGCATCGACGAGGAGACCGAGGGCCAGGGCGGCGCGGCAGACGCAGCCAGCAGCGCTGGTCCTGCGCAGCAAAAGCTGGCAGCCGCAGTAGCCGCAGCGGCGGCAGCGAGCCCGCCAGCGTCCAGGGCACCGTCGGTAGTCGAGATCGGAAGGAGATGGGAAGGGCCAGGGCAGCCGCTGAGGTTGGAGGAGAAGCGGCGGCGGCAGCGGCGCCTCTCGTCTGCGATCGCTGAGCAGGCGCGGCGGCCGAGGGCCGCGCGGCCCATTCGCCCGCCCAGCCGCCAGCGCCGCCGGCCGCCCCTGTCGTCGAGGCGAGTTCTTCGGAACCGCCGGCGACGCCGGCTCCAGACCTCGAGTTGCGCGGCATTTTTTTCGCGAGCGTCGCCTGTCCAGGCCCGAAAGCTCGGCCGCAGCAGCTCAGATACCAAGGGCAGTAAGTACCAGGACATCAGCTTTACGGGGGCGAACGCTGGCTGCCGCACTCGGCTGGAGCAGGCATGGAGGAGCCAAGCTGATATGCAGTGGCAACCCAGCTTGCGATGCGGTAAAAGCGCCTTCGGCTGCTCTAGGGGGGAGAGCCAGACACGGACGGGGGCACGTCTTAGCGCGGGGGCGCCGTCGCATGCATCGGGCACCCCTCCAAGAGAGTTGTGCGCGCAGTTCTCGTTTGCTCTGAGGGGTCCGACGCCTTCGAAGGTGTCTAGCCAGTAACGACGCGCATGGCGCGATTCTTTGGAATTTCAGAATCTCCCACGCTCGCCCTTCGGTCGGGATTGCGCGGGGGGAACATCCAGCGCGTTGCCGACCTGGGGGCAGTCACTCAGTCGGCCGAGCTTCCTCGGTTCATCTTCGGATATTTCCACGGCGACGCCCGTGCGTTCCAAGAGTCAACGTTCTGCCCGAGGATGTTCCGAACGGGCAGATATTGAGTTCACTTGCGCATAGGGCGCGTGGAGTTCGTGGGTCGATCTGTTGGTTGCTCCAGAAAGCTGCCTGTCTTGCATCCACGGTGCGTCTGCAGTCGTTGACGCCCTTTGGGGCCCCCATTGCGCTCGAGAGACGAAGCCCGGAGGCGCGGGCCCGCAGCTGACGAAGCGCTCGTTGGATGTGGCCCCGCGTTTGCCCGAGGCCCCGCTGCGCGGCCCGAGAGCAGCTTAGCCGAGGCCTCCCAGAGAACGCCCGAACGGGCCACAGATCGGTTCAAGACCCACGCCGGCGAGGCCGAGCAGGTCCAGCCAAGGGGAGGCGCCCGAGGTGCCCAGCCCAAGCGGCCCCGCTGCCGAAACGCCGTCGGGCCCAGCTGGGGGCCCGGAAGAGCTTGACTTAAACGTTTGGGCCGGAGGGGGGCCCCGCGGGCCGCTGAGTCTTGCTTCCGCCCAGCTGCAAGCATGGGTCTCGAGCGCTCAGTCGAAAGGGGCGCGCCGCACCTCTGGGGGGGAAATCGAGTTGGCGCCAGTTGCGGGGGGGATCTGGCGTCGGCGAGTGCCCCCGGGGACTCGAGGCCCGACGCGGTCGGGGGCCAGGATGACCTCGCCCCTGTTGGTGATGATGCGACTCCTTCTTCTCTCCCAGATGTCCATATTTCCCCCTCTGCGCGGGTAGCTACTTCGACCCGCGCTGCCCGGCGCTCGCGCTCTCCTCCCGGCGCCTGGTCACCCATTGAACATTTGCTCGCCCGCCAAGTTGGCGAAGCCCACATACTTCCCATAACCGGGCGGCTCTCGCGATGGGTCGACAGGGCGGAGCGCGTCATTTGCGCGCATCACAGAGTGGGCGCGCCAAACAGATCACGCCGCGCGGGGTGCAGGCTGCGATGCCAGTTCGGCAAACTCAGCACGTCCGCAGCCAGCGCCTCGAAGATGGAGCGGCGGTTGGGGAGGCTGCGCGCGGCGACGCAGGAGGAGGGGGGGGGGGGGGGAGGGGGGGGGGGGGAGAGGGAGGAGGAGGAGGAGGAGGAGGAGGAGGAGGAGGAGGGGGAGGAGGAGGACACTGCGAGGCATCGCCGCGCAGGCGAGGGGCCCCCAGCAGGTCCCGCAGCGGGCGGCCGCGTCAAGACGCCCAGCGGGGGC